CTGCCCCCAAACCCCCCCAGCAGAAACAGGGAGATCTCCCCCCCTTTGGAGCATGCTTGACAAATCTCTACCTGCCCCTCACCTGCGGACATCACCGCACAGTGCAAATATCACTGAGCTCCCAATCCTCCCAGAAATTAAGTCAATATTGGAGTGGCTGCGCTGCAAGGCAAGCAGGACCCACGGGACACCGAAGCGCAGCTGGCATGAGTTGTCACAGTTCAACCGAAGCCGGCGAAGCTCTGGGGGTTTACGCCAGCTGAGACCTGCCCCCAAAAGGTTGATCCACTTGTCCAAAGCCACAGGCTAGACCTGGGCATGAAGCCCAATAGTCTCATCTCCCAGTCCCCTGCGCTATCCACCAGACCATGCAGTCCTCACTGCCACCGTTCTGCAATAGCAGCAAGTGATTACAGATGAGACCATGGACTGGTTCCCTATCTGTAGTTAGCAGAAACCTTTCTTTTTAATGATGATCATTAAATAAATTACACTTTCCCTAATCCCCGAACAATCTCTGATTGCCTGTGCTGAGAAATGGACAGCAGAAGGCAGAGGCTGGAGGAAAGATGATGCGTGTGCATGTATGCATGTACGCATACAACTGAACCAGCCCCAGTTCTGCTAATAACAATTTTGGATTTATTTCTGCCAGTCCCTACAGAGCAGGCCTGTAAGAGATGCAGATCTCTCGCTCAAAATGAGATGCAATTTAAACAAGACAAAACACCTTGGCAACTCTCTCGCTTGCCAGATCATGATTTACTGAAAGTGACTCAGGAACCACAGAGTAGCTTGTTTCCATACTGGGTCCATAATTAATTAGGTCCTAGACTGTGCACTGTGATTGCATGAGCTGTGATAGGAAACATCTCCAGCCGTTAGCTGACTGCCACACAAAAGACTGCTGTAGAGGGGTAGGCAGTGTGCAGGAGAAAGAGGGTAGGGACCGGCTTGTGGAGCTGGAGATAAAACAGCAATAGCATGGAGGAGAGACCGAGGATATTACATTCCTCTCTGGCAAGCGTGTGGCTATTTTGAAGGATAATCTCCCCGGCCCATGTCGCGCACTCTGCAATGGGGAGTGCGTGTTGGCTAGCAACAGCATCCCCTGTTCCGATAAGCCAGCTGAAACTGGGACAGGGAAAGAGAACTCGCTTGAAGCAGCTAGAAAATCCACAGCTCAGGGAAGCAAAGTACAATTATTTTGAAGAACTCAATCTAAACTAACTCTCTTGGTTTCCAGATGAGAGCTCCATCAGCACAGGCAGGGCCTGCGCACTCCTCCTGGCTCCCCTGCTCCCTGCCCCACCGCTCAGCATCCCCCTTCTCCTCCCCGCTGCTCCCAGACCGTGGTCCGGCTCAGCTCCAGACCTGAATGACCCATTTTGGTTCCCTTGGTTATAACCTGATGCTGATGAACCTCACACCAGTCCCTGTCTCCTTTCCCCTCTGCACTCTTCCAATGCCCAGGGACACCACAGCTCATCCTCCTCCTCCTCTTATATACGAAATACTGGGTTTTCGTACTACAGCTCTTTGCTGTGGACTCCTCTGACTCATGCATGTCACCCATTCCCTTCAACTCTGTGTAACTACAGTTCCTTTTGGAGCCAGCCTTGGTGAATGGTGAATCTCAGAGGAAACAGCAAGGGGCTCCAAAGAAGCATTTGGGATTTCAAGGGACAGTCTCAGGGTGCCCCATGGGGAACAGCAGGGTGATTTCCTCCTGCTAGATCAGCTGGCAGGGAGTCCTGCTCTCTTCTCGCAGCTGCGAGTTGGTGCACCACGACTGCATGATAACCAAAAGAAAAAAAATTGATTTAGGGGAGGGACCACTGGGCAAACTATTACAGTAAGGAGAACTACTAGGGAAAGCTTAAAATAGGCACAGAGCAGCCAAGACTCCAGTTTTAAGGTCTTGCATTGAAGATCCACAAAAATGAACAGCCTGACACGCCTACATCAACAAAATAGGATTCTATACGATTGTGATATGAGCAGTCTTTTGCAATAAATCAGCAAGAGCCCAGCGTATCTCTCAGCCACAATCTATGCTAAGATAAAAGAGCAATAGGATGATTCTGCCCCTCTGATTGATGGATGTTGGTGCTGTGAGGGTCTGGTTTGAGAAATCCTTACGTAGTCTATTAAAACAAAATGGTTTGGGGAAATGGCATTACCATGCGTGTATCAATTCAGTTTTTCTTGTGCCACAACAAAGCTGATACACAAAGGCGGGGAGAAGAATATGAAATGAACAGTTCCCCCATTCTCTTCGCACCACACATACGTGCCCGTGAAGAACAGATGGAAGAAACGAACATTGTGTTGAGCGAGGAAAAGTGTTTGAAGGTTTATCAGAGAAGGAAACTGAGACAGATGTCATGCTTATGTCATGTGTTAAAACCTTGATCGTAGTTGCAGAAATGGGATATTCGATATATTGCAGGCCATGAGCTCTGCTCATGTACTTTGAAAGGACGCTGGGTAGGGACCAGGAGAGTTGCTGTACCCAATTCAAAGGATACGCAGGGTGTGTTGGCAGTTTGCCATTTGAAAAAGAGAAAGAAAGTGAGACCAAGTGCACAGCAGTGGGGTCCAAGCCACGGGTGTTGGCTCCACGAGGAGCACAGGAAAACGTTAACCTCGGAAACTCACAGCACTGTGAGGCTCGATTTTGGGTCGCTCCATGGCAATGGTAATGCAGTTCAGGAAAATGATCACCAAGACGATATGATCAAACATCTTGTGCGTGATGATTTTATTGCACATCAGACGGAATCTGCCGAAAAAGAAGAAAAAAAAAAAAAAAGAGGAGAGACAGACTAGCTATTAATGCTCGACTGGTTGGGGAGAAATGCAGCAGCTCGACGCATGGCAGGGGAATCGAGTGCTCCGTTTGCAAAGCAGATGAGCTGCAATCTCCCAATCCCCTCCTTGGCAGGGCTGCACGCTGCAGGCAGGTCGGGGTATGAATAGAAAAGAATCCGAGCTACAGAATTGGGCCACAAATTTCAAGCCCTGGTAATGTTCGTAGGCGGCTTTGGGTCACTTGAAATGGAGCAGCTGCTTCCACAACTTGGACACGCGGCCAGGTTTGGATCCAACCCCCTACCTGGTCCGTAGTGCTCAGGTTTAGCTTAAATAAAGGAAGAAATACTCCCAGCAGTCCTGTAAGGGTTGAGCGCACATGGAACAAAGGGACAGAAGCTATTTATTGTGACAGATGGCTGTACACTGACCCAGGATTTATAATACCGTATTACATTTCCCGAAGTCTGTTTCTGAAAATCTCTCTAATCTTTGTATGAATGAACTCGAATGCTGTCCAGGGCCCACCAGCTCAAACACGGGGAACCCTCACTGAGCACGGGTGCACGTCCAGAGGAACACGCAGGAGAGCACGGAGCCCAGATGGCCCCGGCGCAGCTGGGCTTTGAGAAGGGCAGAGCTGGGGGTCTGCCGGCAAGGAGAGGGTGTTTTCTGGGGGTTGTTGGGAGAGGGAGGAAGGGAAGGGGGAGGACAGAGAAGTCCAGGCAGGTTTAGGAGGTCAAGGAGTGTCCTTTGCTGTGTTGTAAATGTGCACTGGGGGCAAATTCAGACTTATCTGCTTAATGCAGCACCCTTCCCCTTGCTTCAAACTCCCCACGCTCCATCAAGTGAAAAACTTGCAGAGCACTGGCATCACTCACAAAGCAAACAATGAGCTTGATAAAGCTGTGGCCATGCCCTGGCCTATGGGTCTCTGCTGGACACTTCTATGCCAGGGCTGTGCCCACCCGGGAGTGGCTCTCTGCAGCTGGAGGCCCTTTGCTGCGTGACCCTGATGTAGTACTGGAGCAGGGGAAGGGCTGGGAGTTTTGTGGACTGACATAGAGACACCCATCTGGGATAGACGGGCAGAGCGAGCCATCGCAACGAGGGCATCCGTGCCCAGCACGCCACCACTGCTCGAGCACAGCTGCTTTACCTTGAGTGAGGGGCGAAGATGTAGATGGACCAGGAGTCTCTTTCTTTGCAGCAGGTGGGGAGACGTGCCTGTACCCAAGCCTTCATGCGGTCCCTTTTGCTCTAGGAGGAAAACGTACAGCAGAAACGTACCGGGAGGAAAACACAGAGAGAACTGTTAAAACAATAACCCCCCCAAACTTCCAAGTGAAGGACTCAGGGCAATTTTTCACTGAACACATGTCTCCAAGTGCTCAGTAAAGCTGAAATAAACCGATCTCCCCAGAAAAGACCCCGCTGGGCAGGGGAAGGAGCTCTGGCAGCCGGGTGAGGGCTGTGCTGGCCCTGCAACCTCGCAGGGTTTGGTCCTCCTTCCTCCGCACGGTAACTGCATCTGGCACACAGTTAGCCAAAAGGACAAACGTGGTAAATAAAACCCTTGCCCAGAGGACTGATAACCCACTCCGATCAGCCTCAGTCCCTCCAGATACCCATCAGATGCCTGCCTGAATCTTCTAAGGTTGTCTGGGTGTTTTTGTTGTTTGGGTTTTTTTCAAGAATATGTAATGCTTATGTCAGAGGCTATAAAGAGAGCAGAGGGAGGGATTCCTGCTGCTTGCTGGGCCAAGCCCTATGTCTGTGCACCACTGGAAAACTGAAGAAATTGTTTGGGACCTGAGTTTTGGTCCAGGAATGCAATGGTGAGCATCTGCCTTTCATTCAGCATGAACAGATTAGAGATTATAAAGCCAGAAGGGAACATTGTGGCCAGCCTGACCTTCTGCGTGAACACGGGCCATCCGACTCTGGCAAATTAATTCCTACTTGAAACCACAGCGCATCCTCAGCCATGCATACTTATGTTTTAGACCGTCTGCCAGGTCATTTAAGGCCAGGAGGGCAGATTGTAAAAGCCTTGGCCAACAGGTCAACTGAAGACATGAAAAATTGGATGCTGAGGGGAAGCCTCATCCCAGCTGCAATAGCCTCTGGATTAGGTCTTGTCACCTTCTCATCCATAGTTCTCCGAGGGGTGGTCAGGATCTTTAATCCAATTGGCATTGCAGTGCTAGCATCTTGTGCACGGACAACCAGCAGAAGCCAGGCAAACACCTCACCCACCATGCCGGGGCTTTCCCAGCCCTTCCAAATCGAAGCACCAGAAGATAAATCCGCAGACCGGTGTGTGCAATGTCACCGCGGTGCTTTGCTTTTCAAGACACATAAAAATGAATCCTTGCTCTTTCGTTACCCTTATTTCCCCACTACCACCTGGGCTTGGATGTGCACACACGTGGGAACGTGGCTGCACGGGCTTTTTGAAGCTTTCTTCTGCAGATGTTCAGAAAAGGAGCTGCGAAACACCACGCAGGAATTGCCGCTCGCACCCCAGGAGCGCCCAGACCCCAGAGCTGAGGCACTTTTATTTATTTCACCCTAGAAACAGGGAGGGGGGATTCGTTTGGAGTGAAACTGTTAGCAATTGGAGGTACTCTGGACTGTAAAAATGGGATTTGTTAGGGTAATTGAGTGGAATGGAGGAAGTGCTTTCTGATCCTATATGCACTCAGCCAGGGGTCTCATTAGCGATGGGTAATAGCTAGTGTAGTGTCGGTTTTAGTGAAAGCACTTGGTGACAACCTGAACCCTTCAGAAAATGAAAACCACCTTGTGAAAATAACAAGAAAAGTTTGAATAACCAAGACAAAAAGCTAGATCTTTCTACCCTTCTCCTTCAGCCGTCTGTCCCTCCCTCCCCTTCTACGCAAACACAGGCCACGCCATGGCACACCAGTAGGTTTTGGCCACATCTTGGCTGTTTTCACATCCCTTTTCCAACTCCAGGCAAGGAGTCAGAACTGCTCCCTTCTCTCTAAACTGTATTTAATAGAGCATGCATCCTTGGGGTTGCGTTATCCCTTCGAGCAGCCTAGTTAGTTTAATTATCCATAGATTTAACAAAGGTAAATAAATGGATAAAAATCAGGTGTCTGCTCAAAGTTGTGGTGAGAACAGCGATTGCTACTCCAGCCTCTGGACATGGAGTAATAGCAGCGACTCGGTCCAGTTCATTTTGCGAGCTGGAAGTTTTCCAGAAGTATCTATTATTCAAAGCAGTTCTGGTATTTATCATGGGGATTTGTAGTGAATGGTAATGCGTCAGCAGCACAGAATGCTTCTTTATACTCCTTTTGTCCAATTTTAATGCCAAAGATATTTTGGGGTTTGGCTAACTGCTGCAGCTTGCAGTTCATGGACTAAATCAGATAACAAAGGCAAAAAGTGATCTTCCATCATGTCTCTCTATTCAGCGTGTTAGAGTAAGGGCGAGCACCAGGGCTTGGCCGGGGCTGGCTCAGCCGGGGCTGCAGCTCGGCTGCTCTGTACAGGGCCAAGTACATCCGCAGAAATCTACAGTCAAAGGAATTACTCCAGATTTCCACCAGTGGAACAGTGCAGTTCAGTTAATTTGAGCCAAATGTAAGGTATTTGTGAAATAACACCCGAGCATTTCCAGCCTAAGTCCCATCGAATGCTTTCTCCGCGAGGTCCAGACACGCATCAACTGCTTACAATCAGGCTGATTGCTGCTGAAGCCTGCATTATGTTCAAAGCGATATAACAATTATGTGGTTTAAACCACATCTATTTGTTCATAAAACACACCTGGACAGGATGAATAAAGATGCGGGGGGAGAAGAAAACTACTCTTTAATTCAGTTGCCAGTGACTTAGACAAAATCTCCCTGGCTAAGACCACCCAAACTCCCGCCGCCGGGACGCAGGCAGGGACCAGGACACAGTGTGATGCCGCTCGCTAACAGGCAGCGGTGCTGCCTGCACCCGGCAGCGTGTTAACAGGGCCCTCTGATCCCATAGCTGCTGATAAATAGCTGTGGGGTTGGGGTTTTTTTTTCAGGACTTTCAGATATTAATGTAGTTCTGGGGGCAGGACGAAAGGCAGTTGGCTTTAAAAGATGACTGATGCACTCCTCGGAGTCAGGGAGAGGCTTAGATTTATAAAAGATTTATTATAAGGATGGGGGGGAACAGCTGAAAAATGCTCTACGAGTGGCAACAGACCTCCAGGCAAGCTGGAAGCTGCACGGACGCTTGGGACCTGACTATTTAATTTAAATATGCAGCGGGGGCAGGCTGAGAGGGTTTGGGGAGCGGCTGGACTGCACGCCACAGAAAAAAAGTGCAATAGGCAACGGGGAAAGGAGCTGCGATTGCTACATGCAATGAGGATTTTGGGAGGAGGGAACACATTTCATTGCAGATTCAATATTTCCCTCACTTTCTGCTCTGAGCACTCAGCAATTTGGGTAGGAAAGCATCCAAAAGCATCCAAAATCCAGCAGATGTGAACAACAAAGACCTCGCAGCAGATCCCTGATCTCGGTCACAGCCACGTGAACCCAACCAGGCAGCAGATCGCCCGCTCTGTGAAGTTTCTCCTTGTCTGCATTCATGCAGTGAAGAACAGATTTCAGTCCCCTGATTTTATACTTCTGGGGAGAAGAGCTATCAGGGGCCTGATTCTGGCCTCTTGGAGGGATGTAAATTCAGAATAAACTCATTGAAGGCAGCGGAGTGGCACTAATATAATGGGAGCCTGGGAGATCCAAACGAAGCCTTTGCACTTCCTTTTATTTTTGCGCAGAGGCAATCAAACCCAGCCAGCAAGGAGAGATGTGAAGCTTTGTTGCAGAAGGGCATATTTAGGATTACTTTGATCTGAATAACAGTTGAGTTCTTTCCTCCTTTTGTTGGTGGGGGAGTTTTGAATTTATTTTTTTCCATTTAAAAAATAATTACTTTTTTTCTGACTTTGTCAAGGCTAATTTAGGGGCAAAGCATCCCCCCAAACATCAGGAGGGAATCACAAAGGGAAGCTCCGCAACCTGGGGGCTCATTTTGCTAATCTAAGCAATATTTTCCAATCTGTCTGGTTTAGTGATTTGCAGTGAAGACATATTTTGGAGCATGGGGAAAGGCACCAGCCAGCTGCAGATGTCCCAGCTGTGGCTATACCATGGGCTGGGGCACAATTTATTTTCCCTATTTTGCCTATTCTTTCCCTAGGCATTTGCTTCTGACCACTACATGGGAGAGGATTGAGGGACCTTTGGTCTAACCCTACGTGGCCAGACCTTGGCACACAGAAGACAACGTTTGGTTTACACTAAAAGCAGCTGCCGTAATAAAGATTAAAAACATGCATCTTATTCAACAGCCTATCGTCAGCACTGGCTGGGGCTGCGGGGCTGGGTGGGACGGGAGAGGAGGGACATGTCCCATCACATGGACGTCCAGCTCGGGGGGGGGCTGCTGGCTTCTGATCTTGTGGGGGGAAAGGAAGGGACCTGTGGGATGTTTGGACCAGGTGAGCTGGAAAAAGCAGCAGATGTTGGAGCATGAAAAAAAATCCCTAGCTAGCAATAAAAAGCATGGTCTCTTGATCACTTTTAATAGTGCTTTTTCCAAAAATAATTACTGCTCCTTTTCTTAAAAATTCAGTTTATCTTATGGAGGTTAAAAACCAGGTTAAGGCAATCAGTAAAAATCCCAGGCTGAGGATCCACGCTGGAGATGTAATGGGATAATGGCATTTTTAAAGGCGATTTACAGCTGAGTGACTCCATTCTGCCAGCACTAACTCTCTTTCTCCTCCTGTTCCTTCTCTGGAGTCACCACTGCCTTTCACATCCCTTTGTATGCTCCAAATTCCATTTTCATTCAACAAACTCAGTGAAATACAGTAAAATCATGTCCACAAGCTGCAGCTTTCATGTTCTCAGTACCACCCCGGTTACCGTCACATGGCTCTACCCAAAAGCTACCCGCTTCACCAACAGAAACAGAGTTACCCCCTGGGGATGACACATCAGACCATCACATTTTTAAGCCTGAGAACAAGGTAAAGTGAAACAAAGAGGTAACCTGGGAAGAGCAGAAAACACCCCAAAACCCCCCAAAACTGTCCTGGGAACATCCCAATGGGACAGTCCCCACAGGCATCCTGCTGCCAGCTCAAGCCCCTCTCTGCCAGCCACGCGAAAAAAACTTGGAAAAGCAGCCAAATTCCTTTTATCCCCTTAAGATACAAACATCCATGTGGAAAAAGAGCCAGGGACCCTCGTCCCTTCCCTGCATTTGCAGCCCTTTTAGCTAACAGTTCCTAAATGGCACTTTCCAGGCCCGTGAAAGAGAGGCGCTTACTGGACTAATGCCTCTTCATGTTGAAATTAATGCAAAGCCTTTGAAATTACCACCGTCTCTATGGGACTAACGCTGCCATGGGAATGGGGGGCCAAACCCTGCCCTTTCCTTGCCTGTTGATGTCAACAGAAATTGTCTGCTGCTGTGCGTGGGGGCAGAAAGCTGCATAATGGTTGGAGAGCAGGGAAAGTTACCTTTTTTTTTTTTTAAAGAAAAAATAAAATCAGAAAAGCATATATTTCCAGGAGACAGCCTTCGCTCTGCACCTTTTAGTGGAACCTGGGGAGTTTTGCCCTGATCTTTCCATCGTGAACCATCTGATACTGCACTAAAATACTTAAGATGATGCCAACCCCATTTCTGGTGGCATCCACAGCCCAGAGACCTTCTGGTGAGACCCAGCCCCTGCAGCGGGCCATTGCTTCGCACCCACCCATGCACTCCTGAGAGAGGTACATGCATCACTTTGACAAGGAAAAAAGCCCGAAATGAGTGTTTGGCATTTCCTTACCATGTTGCCTTCATCATCGCAGTCATCGCAGTCCTGTTGGGGGTCATCCAGGTGGAGCTGGTGCAGCAGCAGACCCGGAGAGGTCTTCCCGTTGCAGTCCTGGTGCTCGGAGGCAGAGGTCCGGCTGCTGTGCATGCTGCTGGTCCGGTACAGGGAAGGCACCTGCAGGGTATCCTGGAGGTCGAAGGAGCCTTTTGTTTCCAGCGACTCCATGCGATGAGGCAAAGAGCCGTTGAAGCTGCCGGCCCGGCTGGAGCGCTCCTCGTCCGAGCTCTCCCCTTCCTCTGAGCTCTCCTTCCCTTCTCCGGAGAGGAGGGATCTGCGCTCGCCGCTCTGACCACGACGCTTGAGGCTGGGGGCCCGGCCGATGCTGTTCCAGCTGGAGCGGCGGCTGTTCCAGCTGCTGCTGGCTCGCGCCTCGTGCTGTCCCGCGTGGGGCGGCGGCTATTCCAGCTGCTGCTGGCGCTCCAGGGGCTGTGCGGGGAGCTGCGGGCGCTGGGCTGCGGGAAGGACAGGGAGAGCATCAGCCCCGTGCCACCCGCCCCGCGCCGGGCTGCTGCTGCGCCAGCTGGGGTGGATGGACGGACGGACAGCCCCGCAAGCCCAACAGACACCCGCTGAGCGTCGGCAGGAGGAGGTGATGCGAGTACCGGGGACTTGAGCTCGTAGGTGGCGGGGTCCATGGCAACTCCGCTGGCCCGGCGGGACTCGTAGCCCTGCGCTGTGTCTCCGAACACAGCACTCTTGGGCATGGGCATCGGCGTGGCAGCGGTGTGTATGATGAGCGGCGGGGTCAGGCTCTTCTTCAGCTCCAGGTGGTCGCTCAGGGCCATCACTGGAAGACACAAGTGGGTTTTAGGTGTCTCACCTTGAGGGGCACATCTACAACCTGCTCCCGGGCAGGCAAAGCAGCTGCGCAGGGACGGCTCTCCTCCACGCACCGGGAGGATGGGGGCCAAAAAGCCCTTCTGGAGAGCTGAGAGCCCGTCCTTCAGCCTGGCAGGGGAGCAGGGGGATGTAAATCAGGAATGGGATCAGATGCCAGTGGGAGAGGAGAGTAGATGCAGACTGTCATCTGCTGCCCCTCAACCCTCCAACCAACACCCACCAGCTCCAACCCTGGGAACCTCCTGCCCGTGCCAGGCTCCCTCCATCCTCCTTCCCCGCAGCTCCTCCACTTGTGCCCCTGCAGAGAGACCCCAAAAGCCCAGACCTCGGGCTCAGTGGGGAGATTACGGCCCGAATGCCATCGTGTCTCTGTCTGCATCCCACGATCCAACCCCACGCCACAAGCGTGCTGGCCTCGGTGGAGCGTGCCATGCCTTGGACTACACTGCTCTCTCGGAGGGCTCTTCCCTTCAGGACACATTGCTTTCACAGCAAAGCGAGGTTTCGGCAGAAAAGCCTGTCCTCCCGGGGTTGTTACTCACAGGCTGGATTTGACAAGTTTTTCTTAAGTCCTCCCTCCTCTTCCAGGCTGCGGGGGAAGAGATCCCCCTCGGAATCAGACTTGGAAGCATCACCCTGGAGCAAAACAGAGGGCTTCAGCAAGGAGGGTGAAGGGCTGCGGTGCATGGACACCCCTCTGAAAAAACGGATTCCCGTCTCCAACACCACACCTACGGATCCACTGAATTTCGAACCACGATGCAACATCACCTTTCACAAAATGACGCATGCACATATTTATACCACAGACTAATTAACCTCCTACCAGAAAGACTGCCTCTGGCTCCAAATGCGGTCCCACAAAGGGATCAGAAAAAAACAAACCATTGCTTAATTTTTGCTGCTGGAATTGCATACTGGGCAGGTATTAGGGAAGGACAGATATCTGATGAGCAATTTTGGGACAAAAATTGACCCTACTCATCTCTCTTAATTTATACACTATGGCTTAAAACTCCCTGTGTGTGGCTCTTTCTAGTGATGCTTCGATGAGGCAATCCAGGATTCAGAAGGGGCACAAGGGACCCCGACTTTCCAATGCAGCTAATGGGCACACGTCGACGGACGCCCCACCAGCGCAGAGAGGATCCAGGTGGCAGGACCTGATAACGACTCCCCTGGGTGGCTGTTCCCCTCCCAGCTGCAACACACAACACAAGCAGAAGTTTTTGGGATTTACGCTGTATCATTTTGGGGATTTAAACTCCGCTGTATCATTTCAAACGCCGGGGGCTGAGTGAGAGCTGCCCGCTTTGACATGGGCCCATCCTCGGGAGGAGAGAGAAGAGGTTTACCATTGCTCGCAGCGTGGTGCCTGGGCTCTCGCTCGGTCTTGCGGCACAGACCCGATTAGGGACGTCCCTGCGCACCCCACTGACTCTGTCCATTGGCACTGCAGAAAGGCGCTTAGGGTGTGGTATAGTCAGGATACACCCGACGGGCAATGGTGCTCACCAGAATGATGCCCATCCAAAAGAGGAGGATTCACGGCTGAAACCACTGCTCTGGCAAAGGGCACCAAGCCCTGTCGCGATGTACGTCGGGAGGGAGGAGAGGTGGGAAGGGAAGGAGGATGCTGGGATGAAAGAAGCCAAGCAGACCCTCACTTCGGCTGGGAGAGACCAGGAGCCCCAGAAAACCCCACCAAGGCTAAGCTGCGTCCCCAGGAGCCCTGGCCAGCGCTGCGGAGGTTTGGTGCTCGGGTACCTGTTGATTGTAAAAACCCAGAGGGGCCCCAGCGTGGGACAGGAGGAAGAAATGACATTCTGACACAAGGTCCAGTGCCCTGTGACTCTTTGTTAAGCAAAACGCCGGAGGGACGAGCCCTAATACTCCCCCAGGGGGTCACTAAACAGTTAAGGGGATTTTTTTCCAGCAGACTGGATGCTCTCAGACACGTGTTTTTAAGGCAAAAGAGCGTGTGATGTGAAGTGTTGGCTCAAAACTTCCCCTCCTGAGGATCCAGGACTTCTGTGCTATTTAGGGAAGCTCATCCTGTAAGACGCAGACTGGGAAGGTCAGGAATGCACCTTGCAAGGGGGAGCAGTAAAGTCAGGCTGGCCTGAACTTCGCTAGAGTCAAAACCCTGTTTCCACATGAACAGGGGCTCCAGCTGGCTCCAGGTACGCTCCTCGCGGAGGCTCCCAGCTCAGCCCGTCAGTGGGCCTGCCAGGAATTACTCATTCTCCCTAATGGGTTATTAAAAAGGAATAAATAACGGGAAGAATTTTACGTGCTTTGTATTCCTGGAGTGCTCTTTAACAGCCCAAAGGAAAGTTTTAGGGTGCACGATGAGATGTGTGCCGAGATGGAAAAGCAGAGCTACGTGGGGACTTCCCACCCCGCTCCCCAGCACCAAACCCCACGTCTGGAGGGCAGAAAGCATCCCCTCTGAAACACCACGTGCCAGACTCAGTACAGTGCAGGCAAGCATCTCGCAGCCGGGGCTGCTGCCCGTTACCTGTTCTTGCACTCCCAGTTTGCCTTTCTGGATAGAAAAGGGGTTATGAGAGAACAGGGAGTTAAAATCCTTTTGGGAAACGAGGGTACGTCAAGATGTACCAGACTGTACAACAGCTAAACCAGCCTGTACCGAAGGGGACTGACACACTGGGATACGATGGGAAAGGGCTTTTGTGCTGAAGGAAAAGCCAGACTTCTCAGAAAGGACAGAAAGGGAAGGGAGTGGTAAAGAGAAAGATGAGGTTGGCAGAAGAGTAAGGTTTGGAGTGTGCTGCACTTCGGAGATCCACGGCTTCCTCAGACCTGAATGGGACCATTTCACATCCTGACCCGCGCTGTAACGTGGCATCTCTCCGGAGATCCCAGCATCCCGGCCAGCCTTTCTGGGACATGCCACGGCGCGGCTGCCACCGTCCTATCGAGCACGGGGGTCCCCCCACAGGTGTCCACAAACAGGCTTGATTCCAGGTCCCTTTGCTCCCGGGCACCCTCCTCCGCCTGCGTGATGGAGGGAGCGCTTGGCAGGCGTGCCCAGCAATCAGCATCACCGTCCGCATCCCTAGGGAGGTCCCCGGGATGTGACCACACTGTGGAGGGGCTGTGACAGCCCCGCGGGGAGCCTTCCCCAGGGCAGGCGTCCAGAAAGGGGTCGGTGAGAGCCAGGGCTGGAGCCACATCAGCCGCCCCGAAGCACCCACCTTAATTTACCTGGCTCCCCCAGAGAAGGAAGGGACTTAAAATCAAGGCTGACTCAACAATGAGGATGACAAAAAAGAAAGGAAAAAAAAGAAACAAACCCCAAAACACCCAAACAACCCCCAAAAGAACGACAGCTACTACAATGAGAACAGCACCACGGCGTGTGACCAGGCACCACGAGAGAGACAACCACAGCGGGCGGTGGGATGTGCTCTGTACATACCCCCGACGAGTCGACAGGCAGCTGAATACAGCTTAACTGCCCACTCGCGTCTTCTCGCTTGGAGATCTCCTGAAGGAGAAACGGGGGGAGGGAGGGGGGAGGAAGGGGAAGGGGGGGTTCAATTTTCACAGTTTCAACAGCAGGACTGAGAGGGGAATCAAAAAACACATGAGAAAAGGCAGCGAAGGAGAGGGGAAGGGGGAGAAGGGCAGTGTGAGGCCACGATGGAGAGCCAGGCTGCGGCACCCACTCCGCTCGGCGCAGGGAAGGGGTGGAAGATCTCAGATGGAGCGAAGCCCTTCGAAGGGACCAGCCTTACCTTTAAATTAAGTGTTTCGAACAGAGCTTGCTTCAGCTCCTAAGTGATAATTGTGCTAATGAAACACCAGCTAATTATTGAAAACATAATTATTAATTTTTTTTTGCAGCTGCATAATAGGATCTTTATTTATTATGCCTTCATTAAGCAGCAATGGAGGCTTTAAATGAATGTTTGATTAACACAATATCAGTCCTCTTACAGCCAGGTGAAATACCTAATTTAAGGAAGGCCACCAGAACCTGCCATGAGTTCAGGTCCCTCCTCACCCCCGTTAGTGGAGACACACATTTAAATCAGCGGGGTGCCCAAACGCAGCAGGGGTCTGCGGGCAGTGGGGCTTTGCCACACGAGTGGCCCCAGCATCTCTTCACAGCAGCAGAAGTCAGTCTTTCCCTACCCACTTGGAAAGTACATGCCATTTTTCACCTCGTTGTGTTTCCCCTTCCTCAGGGGTGGCTCTTCCAACACTCCTCGGCACGTTTCGGCAGCGTGGCCATGCCTGGTCCTGTCCCGCGGGGCTGTGGGAGGTTACACGCTGCGGCAGGAGGGCACGGGTTGTCCCACCAGCTTAATTTCTTGCCTACAGGGCAATGGATCTTTCCTCCGGTTGCTACATGGGATGCAAAACTCACCCCACTCTAGGCTGGGATGAAGAGCTTAAGAAAGGCCTATCAGCTTTGGGATCTGGATGGGCCAACAGTGTCTTGCTAGGCATGTAATGGACACTTAATTTAAAGTCTTTGGTTGTAACAGAGAGAGACATGGAAAAGCCATTGAAAGAAAACACAGAAACACTTCTCCTTCGCAAGAAAAATCCCACTGAAACCAACAGGAATGCAAAAGGTAAGAGATGCAAGAAAAACACCATCCAAAATTCCTACTGGCGGGACAAGGGACTGTTCCCTCTGGTTGAAGCCCTGAAGTCGCCAAAGTCCATATTTCTCCAAGGATGCTACATCCAGAGAGCAGGTAATGTTCTCCTGCAGAGGAAAGGATGGAGGTGCTGGAGGAGGGTCCTGGGAAGGAAGGGGGGCACAAAGGAGGGGAAGGAACAAACCCACGAGTGAGGACGGCCGGGGACAAGGGGACACAAAACCGGGAGGATTACCAATGGAAGAATACTCTTTGGAGATAATATTATTAGGAAGTCCCTCGGGAGAGGAGCTTTATGCCTGACAAAGGGGAGTCGTTGCTTGCTTCAGAGAGAAGTCCCCAGGGCAGGGACCCAAGAGGTCAGGCAGCAATTTCAATTTAGCAGCTCGATCAAACGGAGTCCCCTGCTCACCTTCCCCGCACCAACACCAGGCTCGAGTTAAATCGGAGAACGCGTGGTCAAAAATAACCACGTTGCATAGAGTCCTGCGTGCACCTCTTGCAAGAGAGAAGCAGGTTACCAAATAAAAAGAAAGCCGGGGGGGGGGGGGAAGAAACTCAACCCTGAAAAATATATTGCTCCATATTTAAAGTTTGGAACAGGTCCTTTTTGTTTCTCAACTGCTTATATACATCTGCTGCCTAGCAACTGGGGCTGCAAAGCCGTGCACTAAAATTAACGAGGTGCTCGCAGATTGAGGAAAGGCACTCAAGGACCAGGGAGATAAAGGCAGCGGCCCCGGGATTGTGTTTCAGCCCAGAAATCTGAAGGAGAATGGAAAAAAAAAAACCAACAAACCACCCCAAAAAACCAACCAACTCAGAAGAAGGGTCAAGTGCAATCACAGGAGGGGGACGCTGGGGTTTGTTTACAGCGAGACATAATCTCTCTATTAATTCTGCTTCGGAGAGGATCCTTTGTATGCCGGCTAGCAAAAGTCAGAATATCTGTTTGCAAAGCTACACGCCAGCAAAGCTGAATAAACATAAACCAGCAAGGCCAGACCTGGCTCCTGACCTCCAGAAGACATTTGCTCTCTGTCTGCTGGGGGAAACTTGGGTTGAGCCGAGGGATCTCTTGATCCCGTTGCAATTTACTGGAGGAGCGTGGAGAACTCAGAATAACAAGGACGTGGAAGGAATATTATTATTAAAATGCCATTATCAAAGCCCAAGATACAAAATAGCACTGTAATCAGAGTCACAAATCGTAGAAATCTGGTGCGAGTTCATTGAAATTGCCGTGGTTGGGCAGAATTGGCCAGAGAGGGTTTGATCTTTGGAGGCTGCGCTGGATCCTGGTCCCTGCACTCGCCTCTCAATACAGGCGCGAGCATCACTGGCTTCAGGCTGTCTCAGTGCTTTCCTGAATCAGAATTTACTCCCTGATTTACATTGCACTTAAAGCACATTTGCAGCTTACACAGAAATCCTGGAGCTGGCTTGGACCAGCCCGGTGCTGCCCTGGCAGAGGAGAAAAGCAGGGGCAGGCAATGGGGCAGCTCTGATGCAAAAACCATCCAAAAGCAAATTTGGGGAGTGCTGCAGGCGGTTCCCCTGACTCCAGGGAAGACGTACCCTCAAGGACATGGTTACTGGAATAAAATCACGGCGCATTAAGCCTGGGCATGAATTTACAGGGAGCTATGCCATGGCACCAGCTGGCCGCAAAGTGAGCATGGGATAAATTGCTGCCCAGGGAAACAGGCGCACGGCGGCTGGGTGTGGGGGAGCGGGAACATGCCGGCGGGCGAGCACGAGGATGCTCTAGCATGAAAAACCAGGCTGAGCCAAGGACCAGAGGTGTCAGCCTCCCTCGAGGACCAGGGGTTGGAAAAGGGGCTGCTGCATCCTTTTCTCTAAGAAGCGGGTGCAGCAGGTGATCTCCCACTTTGTTGACCTTCAGAGAATCAATTTGCTAGACTGAACAAAGGTTCGGTTTCGAAGCCGTCATCACAAGCAGACAAGGAGCTTTTTACCTCTTCTCGCTCGGGCAAGGGAACACTGTGCTATTCGGGAGAACCTGGCAGTGACCATCCCTTCAGCTGAATGGCGGGGGGGATTTACAGACAGAAACAGCTACAACAATAACAATTAAAAAGCACCAACATGGAGAGAGACGATACAAAAAATAAAAAAAAATCTCATCTTGCTATCTCCTGGTACGACTCCATTAATTTAACTCTAAACTGTGCTCCAAAAATAGTAATAAAAATGGCTCTGTGCATAGCTATTCATAGGGTGGTAGGATATTATGATACAAAAGCAATAAATCTTAAATAATATTTAGTCACCCCAGAACGCTTATAAAAATCAGAGATAGCGTGTAAAAGCACAGCCTATACAAACAGATCCCAGTGAGCAGTTTTAGGTAAAATTTACCTCTCCAACCCCCTGGGCAGGGTGTAAAGGTCCCCTCCCCTTACTGATGTTCTTGGACAGCCAGGCAATTTTTGCAGAGAGCTGGTGGGCTTCGCGGGTCCCCCGCTCTGGGGACTAGGGGACATGCTCACTCGCTCTGAGCTGGACAGTTGGGAAGGCAGTAGGATGAAAAAAAAGGTTGAGTTCAAACCTAAGTGCCCCCCTGCCCTTCCATGGCAGCCTCCAGCGATCCGGGATGTCTCGTGGAGGTTCCCAGCCCAAGGAAGCAGCCAGCAGAGACCAGAAATCATGTACTTTAAAATGTGCAGAGCATTGCAGGGCTGGGTGCAGGAAGAGCTCCATGAACACATACCATCAAAAAAGATAATCGTGTCACTAATCTCTTACCAGCCTGAGTAAGTTTTCTGGAGGGGCTTTCAATCTGGGTGACAAACACGGTGATAACTGTTTCAAAGACACTGTCAGAGCAGCGATCCCATCCGCAGCGCCTGACTCACTGCTGAATTCCCACTCCTGCATTAATGCTAACAATGCTTTTCATTTAAGCCCTTCATTTAGAGGGCTTGCTGTATTAAATTGCACTGTGGCTAAGAAAAAGAAAGGAAAAAAAAAAAGAACGAACACCTAATATTTTCCCCCACTTTTTTCATGTACCACTCTCGTAAATGTATTGCTGTCCATCTCAGAAATCAAATTCCAGGATCTGGAGGTCCTGAAACTTTAAAAGAAAGCAAAGGCACAAGCGTGAGGACATTACCTCCGTCTGGAAACCCTCTACCAGGATGGCCACCAGCAGGTTAAACAGAACGTAATTCCCAAACGTCATGAGAGCGATGAAGTAGAGAGCAGCCCAGGAGGAGGTCGATGCCATGCCATTGTAGAGGACCTTGTTCCAGTCTTCCTGGGTCAAAATCTGCAGAGGAAGGGTATCAGGAAAATGGAGATACTGGAGGATTGTGTGCCATTTTGCCCGAGTCCGGCTGGGTATCTGTGCTCTGGATGGGCCAAATGAGCATCCCACTTTTGGGGTATCCACTGTAGCTATAACCACAGTAGGATAAATCCGGCCCAAGCCACCTTCTGAGCCAGAGAAGAGATAGGACCAAAATGACCGTGACTCCCATGCTACCGGTAAGGACCCTGCCCAAACTGCCCCGACTCCCAGCCGCACCAAGGGACGCGTTCAGCCGTAAGGGAGTGCAACATCGCATGGGTCGGACCTTTCCTTTGGTCGGCCAGAACAGCTAGAAGTCCTTCACAGATCCAGCAGTTACAGAGCTCAGAGCTGCTAGAACAAAAAACTGCAAATATCAATCATGGGCTTAAAACAGATTCTGTTCTTTGTCGAGATATCGCCGCAAATGGTCCTGATCTCTTCCTCTCCATCTCCACCCTCTACACTTACTTTCACCCACCCAGCCCATACCCTGCAAATGCAAGAGTCTCCTACCTTGGCAGCCCCTCCTCATTAGCTTTCTGATTTATTCTGGGAAACAGTCTGAAAACCCCTGTGTTCCTGCACTTGTGGTTTTGGGTCCTCTCCCGTCCACGGCAAGGAGCTTCACTAAGCTCTGTCAGATGCTTTGGAAAACAACCCCAGCCCCTGCAGCCCCCAAAATGCACACGAGTTGTGGCGTTTTCCATTTTGTACCTGGAAAACAGTGACGATGGCCCAGAGCAAGGAGTCAAAGTTCTTCCTGTCGGGCAGCGTGTCGCCGTCTCGCTCCGAAGCAAACTTACAGCCAAAGAGGTGCATCCCCAGGATGCTGCACGGGAGGGAAAGCAGGGGTTCAACAGGAGACGACATCGGTCTCCTATTAAGAACTAATAATCGCACAGCAGGACTGACTGCGTCTCCTGATTTCACCTGGGCAGTTTTTTTTGGTTTTTGGTTGGTTTTTTTTTTTAAAGATGAATCATTCGTTCACTGAAAAACACGCCTCGAGATCACGCAAACCAGTTGTGAATTTGGGTCAAATTTGTCAAACAGTTTCAGGCAAAAAGTATGCCTGCTCCTTCTTTTTCCTCTGCTTTGTTTTTGTTTTTTTTTAAAGTCAAAACATTTTTTTTAGAAAATGTTGAAAGAAAATGTTTTGACTTTCTGCTTTGCAATGACACATTTTTAGCAAAATATGCTTAATTTGAATTAGGAAGACAGAAAGGGTTTCTGTGAAATACCTGAATGAGACATTTTAGGGGACCCAAAACAGCTTTTTCAATTTTGACAGGAAAACAGAATACCTTTCATTTAAGATTGATACTAAAATAATAATTTGTTTTCCCCTGCTCTTGGCCAGTAACCTGAATAATCAAATTATTTACAGCTCTACTGTAAATGGCTGCAAACGGTGGCTTTGGAGTGAAACATCTTGCTGGGAGAAGGGACATTATTCCATGGAAGAGACTGGCTTTCTTCAGCCTTCCCAGTGCCTGGATTGCTGGAACACCAGCGTTGGCTGTTACAAGGAGACAGGCTCTTCTCAAATTCTAGACCAAAATCAAAAAATTCGGGGCTATGCCAACCCTATTTCTAACGTTTCCACTGCAGAACCTCCCTTCTCAGAAGAGGCCATGCAAGAGCACAAGCACCACCACAGCTGACTTTATTTTAGGAACATCACCCTCTCCTTGGCAATATTTTTAGCATCAGGCTTTCTGTTAGTCGGTAAGTAATGGGACCGCTGTCTTGGGGTGATGTCAAGGAATCATCCAGCTGAAAGATTTTCCTTGTAAGTCATCTTGCAAAGACAGATGTCTCGTTTGGCCAGAGTTGAGAGAATTTAGTCAGGGCAGCAAGCCATCGCCAGCTCTGGCCAGCGATGCTGTTTCTGGGACTGTTCAGCTCAGCCATGCCCTGGTATGGACTCTTACATCTCCTCACCTCGCCATGGGATCCCACCTAAAAACCCCCCAGGACTGGGAATCGGAAGTGCTCACCTGAAGATGAAGATGAAGAGCATCAGCAACATGCAGAACGTAGCCACGTTGTCCATGGTCTTCATGAGGACCACGAGCTGGCGCTGGAGGGCTGGCATGAAGCGGACCAGCTTCAAAACTCGCATGAGCCGAAAGGTCCGCAGGACTGAGAGCCCCCCACCTTGCTGGCCCACTATCTCCCACACACTGAGGGATAAAAAAAGGTCATTGCAGGATGAGAAGACAAAGCCTAACGCAAAGGTATGGAGGAGAGGAAGCAAAGGGAGGGTGAAATTCAGAGAGAAGAGGCATGGAAAGCGGGCAGAGATGCACTGCCAATGCCCCCAGTGAGCTGGACTCCATCCAGGCTTGCAAAGAGCAGAGCCCCACTAGAATGTCAAAAACACGCCTGCAAATCAGTGGCTGCAGCTGCAGGGGCAATTACAGCCTTTGCACGTGCCAAAAAACCAGACAGCTGCTTAGTCGGGCACTGTTTGTACCGTTTGGATCCTAGACTTTCCCAGGACTTTGGGACTGAGGGCTTTCTGCTTGGGCCTCTCTCTAAAATGACCATAAAATAACCCCAAGATATGTATAAGCAATCATGTCTAAGTGCGTTAATTTACAGCAGAGAAGTATAAAGTGTCATAGGAAAGTATTTATGCCCACTCTCCATTACTTTCTGTTTAATTAAACAGCCAAATGAGGAGAAACATGCATAAAGAAAGCTCTAGGTTTGTACCTAATCACCACGATGATCCCATCAAAGATGTTGTATGGATTCTTAATATAGCCAAAAGGACCATAAACGAGGACTTTCAACAGCATCTCCAGGGCAAAGAGGCTTGTGAAGACTATGTTGCTGATCTCCAGGGCGTTGGTAAGCTCCTCCGGCTGGGGAAAGAGGAGGAGGAAAGGGACACGGTAAGCAGCACAGCTCCATTTGTTAGCCATATCCAAAACTACACCTGGAAATACAAGCCCCAATACCACAAGTGTAGGACTACCGATGCTAATGGTGTAGCGAGCAAATGGTAATAGCTCACTCAAAGCCCAGGAGAGAGAAGAAAAATGCTATCAGAGTATTTAAGGTTTATACACCCGTTGTAAATTGAGCAGGTAAATCCAGGCATGGACTTCACGTTAATCGCAGCTTTCGTACCACCTCAGGAGGTTTATGTAGAAGTGGCGTGTACTGAGCCTTAACGCTTTCACATCCTCCAACCCAATTCTCCTTATGCAGAAGGGAGAGTCGGACCGTTTTCTCATGTAAATATCCTCTTAGGGCCTGTCTTTTTATTTCGTATCTCATCAAAAGATTTAAGCTATGATTTTCAAATGCAGAGATATGAGGTGCTATAGCTGGAATGGCTCAAAAAACCTCATTATCAGGAAGCCCCGAATACTGCAACTGAGGAAGGGCCTGATCCTGGCAATTCAGACTCGTAGCTCTATTTTTAGATTGCCAAAAAAACCTAAAAAACAGACTTCCCGTAATCTTAGTCTTAAATTAATACCTTTCATGTTTTTCTAGCATATTTCACAGAGCGTTCCCAACAATGCCTGCAGATACCCAGCGCTGCACTTTCCCCAGCGGGTGGGCAGGCATTACTGGAAAACATATGGCAGAAGACAAAAACCGGTGGCGTAGTCTGTTTAGGATCAGTCAGTGGCAAAGACAGGAGCAGAATCTGCAGTACCAGATCCCTTCTCCCCATTTAACCCCAACACACAGCCACAACTGCATGTTTCTACTTAAAGGCTTCATTAAAATCAAGAGACAGCGTCCTGCTGGCAGATGGCTGCAGGGTCATGTCGGCAACGCCGAGGTGCCCCGCGGGGCAGTGGGCTGGCACAGTTCACAAAGCACCTTACGCACACTGGGTGCTGGATTCCTCTTAGGGGTAGTTTGGCACTTAACTCACTCAGATGCTTTCCTAAATCCCCATGTGTAACCACCCGCAGCTTTAGATGCCTGAACATCATGGTGAGTTACAGCCAGATGTGCAGGTTCACGGCAGCTACACCACGAGCAGAAGCTAACGTGCAACGCGTGCTGTTGACTGCTCCCACCACTTACATGTAACACCTTCATGGCTGGCCAAAAACTTCCTACAACGGGCCAGGAGCTGCCATGCCACGGCACATGCTGCGGCACAAGCTGTAGGGTTTGACGTGAGGTGACCCAACCCCAACCCAACACCATGGGAGCCGGGAGAGGGGATGGCTCAGGGGCAGGGTCAACACTTGATCAACTGTGTTTCAGAGTCCCAAGAAACTGCAGCGACCAAAGGCTCCACAGATATACACAGGCAAATAAACAGATAAATCCATGTGGGCATTCAACTCTCTCTTTCTCAGGGTTGAAGTCTCCAGGCACAGCTGGCTGAGCCCTTGCAGCTCAGGTTTCTCCAACCCAGTACGACGGTAGATGGGGGACCCAAATTGGTCTGACGTTATCTCAGTGCGACAGTGTAATCCCTGAGGACTTGCACTGATACTAGTGGGAGCTTGTGATGACACAGCAATGGTCACGGGATAGCAAAGGGCGAAACGGCAGCATTGAAAAGAAAAAGTAATTAAAAAAAAAAAAGGGGGGGGTGTCGAACACTTCCTATACCTCAAACATCCTCGCTGAGGAGCAGATCCCTTGGCTAGAGTTTGCCAAACACACCAGACACACAGCCCAAATCACCTCCTCACTGATCTAGAGCTGAAATACAAATGCTCCAGCTCTCGATATTAAACGCAGCCCTGGTTTAAAATCATACGCCTATGGGAACACTCAGACACAAAGTAATAAATAGGCCGAGAACTTATATGTCAAGCTGCACCTCAGGACAATTTCAAATAGCTGAAAGTCTACATTAGTCACAAAAAAAATGCCAACTCATTCACGAGTGCCCCAGCACCGAGGCAGGCTGTGCTGTTATCATTATCGCAGCGATACTGCTGGAAAGAAAATGCGTTCCTGGAAGCTTTCCTTCTCATCCATCAGCGCCACTAACCCGGGTCCCGAAGGCTGATTTCCACCCTCTGCGACCACGCTGCCAAATCTAACCCTCCCCGCAGGCACAACCCAGTTAAGTCCCTCGATGCATGAGCAGCGCCCAGCATCTCCCACAGCTGCGGCACCCCTTCCCCGCGGGGGCTGACATGGAAAACCCAAGCAGCCCTGGCAGGGATGTCGTATTAATAGCGTGGATTAATGAAACTTTGCACTTCATGAGCACCTTCTGGTTGGAGATGTTATTGGGATGTATAAATCTGGATGGGAGGCGCTGGCAGGGCACAGCTGGATGACGTGGGGAGCCACGGGGGGAGCAGTGCTGATGCTGCAAGCCGTGACCCCCCCCCCCCCCCAGCCCATGAAACATCCCTCCCAGCCCACCCGGCTCACGAGAGCCCCAAATACCCCTGGCACCGGCGCGGGAGGACTATGGGTCAGCCTGTGCAGCGTGGTGATGCTCAGCACCCGCAGCAGCACCAGATCCATCCATCGCCCCCTACTTCACACCGAAAAAGCCGCCTGGCCCCCCACTCCTCCTCCACACACTCTTTTCCGCTTCCCTCGCAGGAAACAGTTTTTAATATCTGAGACATTGGGCGCCCGTAATAAAAATGAAGAGTGGGATCTCCTGAACCGGAGCTGAGAATTAATATCCAAAAATCTAAGATTAATGGCCAAAATGGGTTGAAAGAGGAAGGGAAAACTTCCCTTTCACCCGGCCAGGAGAAGAGAAGGGTCTCCAGGGCAGCCTGGAACTCTGCCAGGGGAGGGCGAGGCAAGCATCTGCTGGAAGCACACCCCAACCAGACCCGGCTGAAATCAAGGAGTTATTTTGCTTCGGGAAACAACACATCCCTAAACAGTTGAGATGGGGCGATGCGAATTACTTGGAGGATTTCTGCAGCCAGCTGTGGAGCGCTCTCCCCCAAGCCCCTCGCTCCCGTTCGGGGGGTCCCCAGGGCAGCTCATGGGCCCCCTGCAACAGCTCCGCATCCCTTTCAAGGGACACGTCGCTGCAGCCCGTCCATGGGGCACCCGCCCGGACCCCTGCCACAAGCACTGCCGGGAATTATTTATAAAAATAGAGGTGGGCTGAGATCGTGATCCTGTCCAAGGGGATCACAGCCAGGCAGTGGGGATTCAAACACTTCTGAGAACGCCAGCTATGGGATTTCCATGCAGCCATAGATGCGTACAGATAATAAGACTGTTTATAAGATGCTTCTGCTCCAGAGAAATCAGAAACATGCCTGAGACTTCTTTCCTTAGACATCATTACAATACAGCAGGAAAGTGGCTTTTCTCTCCTGTGGGAATTGAAATTGTCATCCCATTCCAAACAGGAATGCAGTTTCAGAATTGGCGAATTGAAACACTTTGTGCCCAAAATTTTGAAAGCTCTCCCCTTCATTTCAGTCCCTATTCCCTTATCCATTTGCTCTGTACTGTAAATCAACTGAAATTAAAAAACATAAATAAAAGTCAGCTTGAAGAAGAACATGGAACTTTTTGTTCCCCAACTGTTCAAATGGACGTTTCAAATATCTCAGACAATGTATTTCAATAAATTTTTTTCTTTGAAGCCAGTTCACTGAAACCGCTCCCCTCCCACGAACAGCTTCAAGTTTGATAAGCTGCCATTTTCTGACAATAACTGTCTAATCAAAACTATATTGACTAGCTCTAGACATAATGCACCTGGGAGAGTCACCGACTCCTGGCACACAACCAGCTCCACAAGTCCTCGCCAGGCATGGATGAAAAGAGCCGGTAAAATCAAGCAGCTTTCCCCTCTGAGGGCCACAACACGGCAGCTGAGGAAGGTGGCATCAGTCCTTTGACTAAAGGATATATTTGGAAAACAAACCCCTCTAGGAACCCCCCTGGAAAGGGTATTTTGCAGGGAAGCAGAGCCTGAGGTGCAGACCCTGGGGTTTCTTTGCAGTAGAAAGCCTCCTGCCTACCACCCCGATTACAGCACATCTGCCACAGCCTCAGCTTCTCCATTAAGAGAAGAGTCTGCTAATTCTCTCATCATCAGCAGCAGTGACTAATTAAAAGGAAAGCATCCTATGATTAAATGAGCAACACCCAGAAAGACCGAGATACAAGCACGATTCAGCTGTGGCACAAAACACCAGCTCTTCCGATGAGTCTTCGGTAAATACTGAATTTTGTTTCCAGGACACCTCGCCTTGCTGGACACACAGATGTGGTGTCCTGGATAAATCATTCCCTGTTAGCTCTCTGTTTGTGTAGTGTCGATTTGTTGATGTACCAAACAGCACATTGACAAGCTCTGGCAGCACATAAAATAGGAGCAGACAGAGCAGCATCTCCCATAAACACCACGCAGCGAATGAAGGCGGCAGGGAGGAGGCGGCGAGCCACGGGCGCCGGCCCAGACGTAACCCTGCCTGGCAGGGTGCAAACCGTGGCGGCAAGGAGGGGATGCTCTCTGCACCCTGCCTGGAGGTTTCAGGCAGGGCTGCCTGGCACCAAGCAGGGCACTGCCGTGGGGGACAGGAGGGGGCAAGGGAAGATGTCCCCAGGTACTAAATGTTGCCTCGAGGGGTATCTCAGAGCTGGACCAGCACTTTGCCCTTTTTCAGCATTCAGAAATAGGCTGTAATGCATTTCTTTAATTTTTTTTTTCTTTTTTTAAACTGAGTAGAAGCGCAGGAGTGAGGTTTCCGATGGCAGAAGGGACGTGCTCCATTTCCACCTGGACACAAGACGGTGGCACACGCTACTCCTTCCTGTGCACAGGGCTCCAAGGTGTCTGCTGAGCGAGCGAGGCTGCAGGCAATGAGTGGGGAAAAAGGTGAGGACAGGGGCTGGGGTGATTAAAAGCGCAAGCCCCGGGGGCTGTGTTCCCCAATTC